AAAAGAAAAGAAAAGAAAAGAAAAGAAAAGAAAAGAAAAGAAAAGAAAAGAAAAGAAAAGAAAAGAAAAGAAAAGAAAAGAAAAGAAAAGAAAAGAAAAATTTTCTATTTTCTATTTTCTCTGACTACTGAATACTGAGATGTGATTTCAAATGAGTTTCTCTGCCTGCTTCAAGCAGGGCTACAAGCATGACACAGAGACACAGCTATCCCTTAGACTGGTCTGCACAAAAGGTAAATGAGTGGAACTGGGGGAGAAGGGGAAGATAAAGTAATGCAAAGCAAAAAGTGAAGCTTGTTCAAGGCTGTCAACAAATTTTTTTATGGTCAGCAAAATCAAACCTTGCTGGTGAATCAAGCAGGATTAGAACTGCACTGGCAACAAAGAATACGATGATACAGTTGCTAAAATGACATAATGCACCCAAGACTGAGGGAAATGCTGATGTAGCTTTCTCATTAGTTTTGCAAAAGCATTTTTACACTGCAATATAAAAAATGCAGCAGGAATATGCAATTTAATTAGAGGATGAACTTCAGGATATTAAGCTCTTTCTATACTCTGTTGTGATATCTGGAAAATTTTACAACACATAGTTCTGTCTTTTTGCAGTGTCACAGCATGGTCTGTCAAACGGTGTTCTCTGGGCTGCAGTTCAATGGGTTGTTTAAATTGCACTTAAACTGCATTATCCTCTATGTGCAGTAAATCCTATTTTAAAAAATCTTCATTCTGTCCGTCACAGATGAACTCTGACTGAATTTGTGAACTGCATAGTCACTATTAAAGATTCTGTTGCTGATAGCTCTGTCCTTACGATCTCAAGGCCGTGAAAAAGGAAGGGGCCCATAACAGACTGCTACCAGCATGTGGAAATTACAGCCCCAGATGAGGTAAAGACATTCTGTAAAGATCTTCTGGTGAATTTTTTGGTCCTTTAGTTCCTGCTTAGTGTTCTGATACCTTCATGCTGTTCTCACTCCCAAGGTTCAGATCCTCTACCAGATCCACAATTTGTTTATAAAATCATCTCTTACACAGCTGATGTCAAGTGAAGCAAAATCTGAGCCTGACCTAATCTTGTCAATAATGATTAGTCCCATGTTAAATTCTATGAAGAAAATCTGATTGCTTTCATTGATTGCATTAGAAAATTAATAGACGGAAGAGCAGAAAGCAGTTCTCCTTTGGAAATCAGTTGGATAATGTCACATGAAATCTCACTCATAAAATAAATACAAACTAACCTTGAATAGCAGCATTATCACATAAACCCTAGATGTCTGGAAAAACTTTAAAAAAAAAAAAAAAAAACAAACACAACAATCACACCATCTCACCACAAGTGACCATCTCTTCTTGAATGCTCAAAATATGTCACTCCAAAGACATCATTGCTGGTTAGGGGAGCACAGAAGAGACCAAACTACCATTCATCTTCAAAGCTGAGATTTTTCTTGACAGAACATGTGAAATTTGGGCAGTTTGCTAAACGATAACTCAAAATGGCCTAAACTGAATGGCTCTTTCAGAACCTGACCATCAGAGATGACAAGGCCCTTTCTTGGTGCAGGTTAAAAAAGATAACACTCTTGTGCTTCTTTAAAATGTTAATGCACAGACAAATTGTTCCGACAGACCACTTCAACAATATCCTAACAACTTGACTTGCTTGCTGAATATGCTGAATGTATAAGTAGCCATAAAATGCAGTAATCCAATCACTAACCTCACTCCACAAGAGAAGATATTCATTTTCTGATTTCACATCCTACTACACCAAAGCAACGGTCCCTCCAGGTTTCAACTTCAACTCATTT